ACACACACACACACACACACACACACGCACAAACACACACACAAACACACACACACACGCACAAACACACACACAAACACACACACACACGCACACGGAGTCAGACACACATAGAAAATCAGCCACAAACAAGACAGGAGACGAACGCGCGCGAAATTCTTCCCTCGCAATGTACTCCCTCCTATTTCCTTCGCTCACCCATGTCGCGTGGCCCATCCTCCCCTCCATTAATCAATGAACATAAAAATCCCTCAAATTATAGAAACGCGTGTCTTAAGGGCTTACGGAAAACGCCTATCACATCTCTCTCTCTCTCTCTCTCTCTCTCTCTCTCTCTCTCTCTCTCTCTCTCTCTCTCTCTCTCTCTCTCTCTCTCTCTCTCTATCCTCTGCCCCCCCCCCCGGGGCTCTGTCAGACGCATACAAGCACAAGCACGCGGAGAACTACGAAACAGTCTATCCCCTCTTAAGTCAGCAAAGAGGTGACCTTTCCTCCAAAGTAAATTTGCCGCGTGCAATTCCCCTCCTCTGACCATCTCACGGGAACGCAGTCCCTCTCTCTTACCCAACCTCCTCCACGATGTCCTCCTCTCCCCCATGCCACAGAGCTCATTTCAGGCTCGCACCTCCGAAGGCTGGCTTGGGAGATCACTGGCCCTGTCTCTCTCTGTAACTCCGTTTTCCTCTCCCTTCTCTCAAACCAACCTTCCCCCTCTCTTTATCTCCCGCCATCATCTCCCCCACTCTCCCCTTCATCAATCACCCCCCCCCAACGCCMCCCCACGCATAAATTCCCGCCTCACCGAGTGCGCCCTGCAACCCTAACCCTCCTCGCAATAGGAGAAAACAAAGACGGGGGAAATTCCTACTACGACTCAGACCCTTTTCCTCGGCCCCACCCTCAGCCCCCTGCATCGATTTCTAAAAAAAAAATAAGACACACCCCTACCTCGAGAGGGGTAATCATCATGGTGGCCCTCTCTATTTAGTATCTCTCCATGACACGCCATCTTCCCCGCTCTACCGTTCACCAATCTGCCCCCCGCCGCGGCGCATATCGTCCCCGCCTCCCCGAGAGCGTAGTCGCAACGACTGACGGCCTTGGGAGAGGAAAGAGAACACAGAAGAAAAACAAAACACGCGCGCACGACTCAAAGCCTCTTTTTCTTTGCCCCCTAGTAATCAATCTACTACTGTTCAGAGAAAGTACGGTACCCCTGTTCGAGGGGTAATCATCATGGTGCTATTCTCATCGGTCTCCGTGAAGATCTTCGCCTCCCTCTCCATGTTCTCATCAAAGCTGAGAATGGCCGCCACGTTGCCGCACCGATAACAGTAATTGGGCGCCGACCACACTGTCACTAGTCCCTTCTCCGGCGGGAACATGTACTTCAACCCCTCCTGCACAAGCTGATGGGCTCGACATATCAGGTCCAGTCCGTTCAGACAGTTAAACTCCGCCGTCACGCGACTTCCAAATAACCATCCAGCGCCTCTGGGACTCACCGCCCACGTGTCAATATCTTCGGGATCACTCCACATCAGGTCGCAGAATGGCCCTTCGTGTGGAATCTCGCACAGCCGCTCGATCGTCTGGATCTGATCAATCGTACGCACATCAGGAGATAACCCTCCGTGCACACACAGAACTCTCCCATCAATCAACGCGGAAAGAGTGAGGAAATCAAACACATCCGTGCAGTATCTCCACGCGTTCGCGTTGCCGTATTTCCGCTGGCACTCGTCGTAAAAGCCGTACACTTGCGTGATCTGTCTGCTCTCGTGATTGCCTCGAAGAAGGGTGATGTGAGCAGGGTATCGTGCTTTCAAGAGGAGAAGTATCGTGAACACTTCCAAGCTATTATAGCCCCTGTCGACGAAATCTCCCATGAAGATGTAATTAGTGCTCGGGACTTGGCCTCCCGTCTGAAATAACTTCATCAAATCATGGAATTGCCCATGAATGTCGCCGCAAACGGTTACGGGACTGTTGACTGGTTGTACATTACTTTCTTCCATCAATATCTCTTTAACCACTTCGCATAAATGTTTTAACTCATCTTCCGACAAGTAATCGCATCTTTTTATCTTCTCTATACATCGATCTAAATCTAAACCCATAGCAACCGACTACCGGTAGTAGCCAAAACCACCACCGTTCTCTCCTCTCTTTTTGGCCCTCTCCTCCTCTCTCTATTTCACCCCCTTCTACTACCGGCTACACGTGCCTTCTGTCCCTCTCAGAAGGCAAGAGCTTTTCCGCCTCTTTCTTTCTCAGACCTTTTCCCGCCTTTCCACCATGATTTGTCGTGCCACCACCACAAACTTCAGAACTTTTCCCGGCTTTTTTTTCTCCCTTTTGCTTCACAACTTCTCCCGCGTTCCCCCCCCCCTTTCTTTAAAAGTTTTCCCGCGCTTTTACACCGCAACTTTTGCTTCACACGCGTGCCTTTCCCCTTTCTTGCGAAGTTTTCCCGCGCTTTTACACCACAACTTTTGCTTCACAACTTCTACCGCGTGTTTTTCCCCTTTCTTCCGAAGTTTTCCCGCGCTTTTACACCCCGCAACTTTTGCTTCACAACTTCTCCCGCGGTTTTCCCCCTTTCTTCAGAAGTTTTCCCGCGCTTTTACACACCGCAACACCAGCTCCCTACACTTTCCTCCGTCCCCTCTTGACTTCCCCAACTCCCACCCCGGCGCGAATCAGCCTCACTCTCTCTCTCTTCCTCTCTCTCTCGCCGCTTGCTCGACAAGACAACCCGCCAAAACGGCACGATTGCCGCTCATGGCATAATAATCATATCATACTACTGAATTCAAGTGGAAGAAGCGGTAAAGAAACCAGTCATCCCCCTCTTTGCTTGGTCGGTTGGTCTAATCAACAATCAACAATCAACAATCTGACGACATTTCTTTTCCCGCTACCAAAACAAGACATTGACGAACCGTTGGTATTTAAAACCATGAAAAGTTTGACGTCCTCGTTTCACCCGCCTGCTTGATGAGAGAGCAAGGCTCGTAACGCTATGCTCAGAGCCCAAATCGCACTACAAGCTGCAGCAGGATGTGTTCGCACGTGAATCGATTGATTGTCGACCGTGCAGATGTGTCATCTTGACGGCGCGTCGAGGTCGAGCTTACGGTGCCTGGTCGTCGGATTTCAGCCCAGAAAGTCTACGGGCATACCCACGAAGGAACTCGGGCATAGGGCCTCGCCGCACTACTCTCGAAATGTGCAAAACGAGAGTGAATCTTCCCCTAAAATTCGGAAAGATACACCGCCAAGATTTTTGTCTTTTGTGCATGTCGAGAGTAGTGCAGCGAGGCCCATACTCAAACTGGAACTTTGGACCGCTCTCGGCACGTGATTGCAGTCGGATACGTTCAGGAAAGCGCTACTACAGTCTGACCCCCCGAACATAACGCAGCCTGAAAAGGAACGCATACAAGGCATGTTTCCGCCCAGATCAGTCAGAATGAGGGTGAGTTGTGTTCGGGGGAAGACGGTAGTGTGAATGCCTCACTTCGTAGGGATAAAATTACCCCGACCCAACAAAAAATAATAATAATAATAATAAAATTACCCCGACCCACATTGTTTTCGGCAACTGCAAATGAACTGCTGGAAAAGTACCGCCCGCCCACAACCAACCCTCGTGGCCAACTGGGGATCGTCTTACGGTGTGATCCCGTGGTCCCTGTGATTTACGATAATTTGTGTGACGTCATCGTAATTTCCCATACTTGCAAGGCACCCTTTGTGGCACGGATTCAAGTTTGTGGGATGAAATTTAAAAAAAAAAAAAAAAAAAAAAAAAAAATTGTGGGATGTCCATTACATGGGGGTTCAAGTTTGTCAGAGGTATTCGAACTAACGTTTCTTCCTTTTTCGCATTCGAAATCTACCCATTAGGAGGGACAAGGGTTAAAGTGCTGGAGGCCCAGGGGCACAGCACAAATTGCATGCCCATAAGAAAGGGCCCTGGGGCAGAGGCACGGAGAAAATAACAGAAACAATAGGGGCAGTGCACAAACTGTTCAACACTACAGGGGCAGTACACAAACTATTCAAAACTATAAGGCCAGAGCCAAATCACAAATTTTCTCAAGGAAGGACCGAACCAAGGGCTTAGTGGAAGGATAGACTCAGTACCTTTCCCGGCTATTTTGTCGAGATTCCACTAGCACACAAGTGAGGTAAAGTGTATCCCATAAATACCTGTGGGACATCTGCGGGACATGGCCCAGCCCTTGACGCGGATGGCAGAAAAATCAGGATGGATTTGTATTCCCAGGTTTTCTTTTTGTTTTTATTCTTGTTCTTTTCAGTCGCGAGGAATGGGAGGGGGAGGGGAAAATAAGAAAGACTCATTTTGATTGGAGGCGCTTCAGGCGAGAAAAGAAAAAATCAAGTACTCGAAGGGGTTGGTATTCACCACCTTTTCTTTCCCGGTCTATTCCAGCCCCATGGAGTACTTGATTTTTCTCTCAAAATGTACGAAGTGCACGTTTGAGCGTGGCAACCGTCAGAGAAGGGAGTCCAGTCGGACACACTAAGGGACTCTCTCAGGGTGGTACGTGAGACTGCAATCGTCACCTACCACTCTGTCCTCGCTCAGCATTGGCGGGGTGAAAAGCAGCACTTTCAAACGTCGCCCTCGTTCCCATCTTGGGAAATGTGACATGGCCATGTTTTTTATAAAAAAAAAGGGAGATACTCCAATCTATTCGTGGGGAGCAGCACGTGCTGGGGACCGGGCCCAGCGTCCCATTCAAGATCATATTGAAAATGAGAAATTTTAAATTTATGGAAAAATCCTTGAGATACCGAGGCCATTACCCGGCTTCGGCTTACGAAAGACAACTGTGTAGTCTATACAAGAACACTAAAATTATGTCCCCCAAGGCTCGGATCAAAGAAGCATTATAAAGCATTATGAATGAAAAACCACCTGCATAAGGCCTTTCAGCAGCCCCAAACTACCTGCCTCACCCTTGTATCCCGATGCCCCACCTCTGCCCGGCCTCATGCCCCCAACCGCTAGGTTACAGAGTGGCACGACCCACCCCAGAAAACCCCCACCTGCTACGCCACAGGGCAAAGCGACCCGCCCCGGCTCCGGCCAGCATCGACTAGGCACCAACTCACCAAAAGACACTAGAATGGTTTCCACCCTCGACAACTCCCCAGATCTCTCTACCAGGTCTCATGCCCTCGTACAGCTCTAGTTACAGGGCAGCGCAACCAAGCCCCAGCACCGACCAGCGTCGTTCTGGCCTCATCTATTCGCAAACCGCCGGGACTTAGGACTAAGGCAAATACCAATCAAGCCACCAATCAGCACCATAGTTGAAAATCTTATCATTCATCTCCTTCATGCACTGGTTACAGGTATCCCCTGAAAAGAAAACATGAACCCTACTCTGGCAAGTCTTACCACGATGGAGCCACCATCTCCACCGCTGTTGTACCCTATTTCAACCCTACAGGCTAGCCCCTTCGCCGCAGAGCGCATCATCTCCCTCCGTCACAGCGACCACAACCTGCCTCCATCACCAAACCTTGGAAGAATTCTTCAATTGGGAAAAAAAAAAAAAAAATCCCAAAAAATCACAGGAACATTTAAGCGTCCACTATTTCCACAGGGAGAGGGGAAAAGAGGAAAAAAACACCCTCTCTCCCAATGGAAAGTCCAACGCCTATTGAAGTCTCAATTGCACATGTAGGTTCGCAAGAACCAAAAGGATTACTCCTCTCCCCCAAAAGATAACCCCCTGTATGTTCATTGCCTCCACTGGAAGGCGCGCCCTCACCTCCCCGCACCAATTAAGAACAACCCCCAGAATACCACTCCTGCTCCCTCACTCGCATACAGTACCCCCTAAAGTATACCCCCGCAGAGCAGAAGATCCCCCTTCCTTCCTGCACCACCTCCTCTAAGCGGAACAACCTCTCAACTCTCACCCTGCTGACATCAGCACCCCTTGGCCTCTCTCCCAGAAAACCCGAACGGGTTTTTTGTAACTGTGAATCCAAAGGCCTAGTAAAGAGTCAACTCCATACCGTACATTTTCCGTCACATCCACTCCGGGATCCAACTGAAAATGCACTTTTGAGTTGCTGTTTTATGTGTTTTTATTTTTATTTTTTTGTATTTTTTTTATAATGTGTTAGTAAGAAGTACACTCTATAGATTGGTGTGAAGTTTGCTTGGGATGGCCTTATGGTTTTCTTATACATTGAGGTGAAAAATGGGGGGTCGGTTAACCTTTACTCCTCTCTCCCCAACCGCCATAGTTGATCCGACCCGAAGATTAGAGTGACCCAAAAAATGACAAACTCTCAATACCGCCCCTACCCTCTCAAAAATCACACCACCTACCTTGAGTAACCCTCGCAGGGAGGGACTCCAACCCTAAAGGAGATATACATTCCAACACCTCTGACCCCAATCCCACAATATGCTAGACTGAGGCTCGTTTGCTAAGAACAATAAAATAAGACCAGTTACTTGAGTAGTCACTATTTGAAAAATTTTGTAAGAGCTAAAATTTTCAACCTAACCCACGTTAGTCATAGAAAACAAATCACAAATTTCCATCTACAAAATCAGAGTAAGAAATTCAAATTTGAGGAAAAAACATGGATTCCAATCTACAAAATCAGAGTGCGAATTTCAAATTTGAGAAAGCCAAGTTTAATATTTTTTTATGAGTCATGCAAAAAAAGTTTGAAACTAGGTTAGAGTCACGATTATGAATCAAAACGTTAGATATTAAATTCAACTTTATGAATACCAGTATCAAGAAGCTCAATCAAAGAATCTAAAGGAATCAAATTTGGAATATTAATCGTAACGAATTTGACCACGGGAACAGAGTACAACCAATCAAGAGTATACACCAGCAAGTAGTCTTATAACTAGATTCTGAAATTTCAATCAATGAAATCAAGTTCAATCGTAGGCAAAAAATTCATCGACATAACATCATGAAAAATTTTGAAACCAAAGATTAGGATTATGAACTAATGTACGAGAGACACACCGCTTTATCATTCTCCCGTCTTCTACAAACTGCACTCCACCCATCTCCATTACCCTTCCCCTCCCACCACGAAACTTACCCCCCACACCTTCTTAAGGGAGAGGTTCCCCCCTCCAATTGGAAGCAGAAGGCCACCAGGTCAAGTCCAAGGCTCGTTGCGATAGTCAACGTGGAGCTTGTCGACGACACGTCGCAGAAGTTTCGCTTTGGCAAGATAGAAGGCAGAGATGAAGTCAATACAAAAAGAGAAGTAATTGAGGACAGATAAGAACATAACACGACAGGGAAAGGAATAAGAAGGGTAAAATCGAAGAAAAACAACTTACTACTCCGGACTCTCGTTTCTCCTTCCTCCCACACCACAATCCAGCCCATCCCATCCAACCCCCACCCCACCTTATCCACATACGGGATCAGCTAAACGATACTGATCATAAGACGCTTCCTTATCTTCGTGATCCCCCACTCGCGTTATTCTTCCTCCTTCGGGCGATGTTAAACATCTTCCGCTGTAGCAAGATGCAAAAAAAAACAAAGGTTTCAACCGACACTCCCATCGCATTCGCAGACCAACCACCACATGGCATCGCTCCAGATGAAGGAAAGCAACCCCCCCCTAACCCGCATAACACAACCATCACGTATCCTCGCCAAGGATAAGAGCATCAAAAGCGTATCCAACCACTAACCTCGTGCACCTCCCATCAACCCCAAAAGTTTCTCATCAGTCATTGCGACGCGCCAACCTCACCGTGTGAACTCCCCGCACGCCGCCATCAACCTCCGTTCTCCCTACGTTGCTTCGCGCACGGTGCCTGTTCGGTCAGCTCATGCAAGTTGGGCGCAACTCTCCCGGCAGCGCTGGGTCCACTAGTCTCATTGTTCATCAATCACTTAGCCCTTAAAATTAATTTTCTTCCTTTTCTTAAAGTGTCGCACAAGTCATAATAGGCCGTGACTCGTG